TTAAGATCAACGGACTAGMAGCAAAACTTGACATCCATCCGTCAAAARCAAAAGGAAGTMATRCTRTTTACTTTTTTAACTCGTTCAAAGCTCAAAAGAACTCGGTGGTCCCTGATCATATTAGTCCTCGTGCCGAWAGTCCAAGAAATRGTCGTCGGGCAAGCAACATCTACTCGCTAAGTGAGCTGGCAGTTGCAGGTGCCAAGGTTAAACGACGAAAACGAAGCACTCTTGAGACCTGGGGAAGAAGRAATACTGTAGGGGTTACAAAATACTTTGATAAGGTATAGTAGTTTCTTGCTGCTCTTTCTTTTATTTAGCTTTTTTTCATTTCTCATGGTTTTATTAGATGTTGTTTTTTAGCTTTAATGTTATTTTTATGTTTTTTTACCTTCTTGATTTGTAGTGTATATAATGTCGTTATTTGTATTAATACTAAGAAGAGGAAGTGTTTGTTTCAGAATCTTCCACCAGAGGAGTTATTTAGACGATGTGTTCGTCTTGTCCAAATGTTTGCTTCTCTTTGTCAGTATAAATATGAAAAGTAGGTACTAACAGTCTGTATACATCACGCACCACTATCATTATTATTACAATTTATCAGCACCACTATCATTATTATTACAATTTATCAGCACCACTATCATTATTATTACAATTTATCAGCATCACTATCATCCATAACCTTGTAATAATTATCATCATAAAAATCATCATCAAATACACCACAAACACGAAACAAAGCAAAAGATTCAGAGTGCAATGCCAACTATTAAGTCTCCTTCACAGCTTACCCTTTCACGAACTTCCTGCCACTCCTTCTTTTGTGAATGACCGGCCGCGGAGCCCTGAACTAAGGGTAGCTTAATGGAAGTAAAATGCCAACTATTAAACTCACTAAAMGTTCACGRCCAAATAAAAGGGGCGTCATTGGGTTATTTGTGTAATGCTGATATCGTTGTTTTTCAGAGAAAATGATGGCCAAGAAGCCACAGCTCACACAGTGTTTACGGAATACATCAACGACGATGAGAAAAAGATYGATGGTCTTGCCTTTGATGCATCGTTCTTCAAAGCCAATAGAAAGGTACAAGTCTTGTAATATTCACGAGCTCTGTAAAAAATTCATAAAGCGAGAAAAAGACGAGAAAATACAAGGAATAAGATATGTTGTCAAACGTCAAAAACTGAAATAGCAACAGAAAAGTTGTCGTAAAGGTGACCATATGAAGATGGCCGCATGGCACTATGATAAACATGATATAAAACAAAGGAAAGGAAAAAAAAAACTAATATAAAAAAAGGAAACATGCTGACTGTAGGCACACACTTTTTATACTGAACCCGTGAAATAATGTATAACTAGTTTGTGTTTTGCTTGTTCCCCGTTGTTTTAATTCAAGACCAGAGAGATTTTGTTTCACGGACTGGAAAAGTCGCTATTTTTAATTATTTACTGTTTGCATTACTTTGATCTCAGGTCARGTTTTGTATGCATTCAGGTATTTATTCGGAACTGAAAACATCGTGCACACTTGCGATTGTCAGTCGGTTTTGTGTCGCTTTTTTGCGCCTTGACATCAACTTGTGTATACTCTGYCCAAGGCCTTGAGCTGGCACAATAAACTGTCATAGATTTAATATGGTTAGGCTGCCTGTGTGTATCTAGTTGGATATCCTAGTCGGCGCACGTTCTGAACATCTTTTATATTAAGAAACTGCAATATTGACATGTCAAATCTCCTCTAATCTTCACTCTCATCCACTGTAGAATGTTGTTTATAAAGATTTACATACTTCGTCTGAATGCTGCATTGAAAACCGACAAAGAGTGACAAAAAGTGTGTGGCCGCGCGATGCATGATGGTTGTATCCTCTTCCGTGCTTGTTGTACATTGTATACATTTCTTGTACAAAAGAATTTGACTTGGGAAATCTCTGTTGTAATAAGAACATTCTCAACCACAGTAAGATTTACATTCTTCTTTTTTCAGATGAGAATGTCACAGGAAGTGAAAAATATTCTATTGATGCCGCCAGAACAACGTAGTGAACAACAGCTCGCCAAAGTATGTAATTATGATTGATAAAAAATAAACAAAAGATTTATATCACCAGTGTTGTCGAGGCTTAAGATTTATTTTATGAATGGTAGGTGCTTTTCTCATTGCGGTCCATTCGTGCCTTTGCCGAGTACCCACAGAGAATACAACACAAGTTGATCGCTGCCGGGTGGTTTGAGTCGTAAGTTGTACTTTTTGTCCATGTACACTTTACATTTTATCTGTTTCACTTTGAAGAGTCATTCTTCTGTCTTTGCCTCTCATTTCTTCTTCTACTCCTGCTGGTTTGCTTCAATTATTCAATTGTCAATTCCTACTTATCCCTCTTGGCCTCGAATCCTATCATCTTCTTCAACATCCATATCCCATCCATCCCATCCATCCCATTTCTCCGTTCTTTTGTTGGTTTTCATGCTTTCCTCCATTTCTATTTCTTCTCACATTCTTCCTTGTCCATTGTTCTTTTGGCCTTCATTCTACTTTGTTTTGATTGTAACTGATTTCCTTTTCTATTCGTAATTATTTTCTTATTCTAGCCATTCTTCAAAAAGAGCGATTTTGAGACAAGGACATATTCCACAAGGCTTTTACTTTGTCCTTTCAGGATCAGGTACAAAACAAAATAAAATAAACCATTGGAAAATCACAACATATAACTTTAAAAACACAACAAAAAAGCTACATTAATAAACATAATATAGGGAACAAAAACAGTTGAATTAGTTTATGAAACGTTTGTCAATTACAGCCGTTGTCACCATCATGACTGAGAATGAACCCTTTGCGAGAACAGTCGCCTTTCTTCGTCGAGGAGACAGTTTTGGGGTTAGTATTTCATGGTTTTGAACTAGAAGAACGTAGTGTTTTACAACCAGATTGCGTCGAACGCAAATTGTTTCAGCACATTGTTGCTATTTCATGTGTGTTAAATTCAGCACTTGTGAACGGATGTAAATAGTTTTATCAATCACTTTGTAAAGATGTTATCGTCTGGATAGTAAGGTTTATATAAGAAATTCTCCCTATTAAACCGCAGCTTAGCTAAGTGGCCAAGGCAGCGTAATTAAAAAAAACCCTTATTGATGTCTCATGTTTAACTTTTGTGTTAATAAAGGAGCTGGCTATTTTACACGACACTCGTCGCCAGTCTACTGTGATATCACGWGARCCCATYGAGCTGCTAGTMATATCTAGAGAGGTAATGCATCAGGGTGAAGTATGTACACAAGAGAGCGTAACTCTCCTTTTCCCTTCATACTGCATTATCATACGTCAATAGTCCACTAAGAAATACATGTATTCAGGCTAGGATTCTACCTCTTCAATGATCATACGAAAGATAATAGACTATTTCTATAATAGTGAGGACCGCATGTCACTATGATAAACATGATATAGAAATGAAGGAAAGTTATACTGCTTAGAAGAAGGCGATTCCGGGAGACCCGACCTCGCTGGGATTCGAACCCACGACCCGCGGATTCGTMCTACCGATGCTCTATCATATTATACAATAGGTCGTTGCTTTACATTATCCAAAAAAGGAGAATAGAGGCGCTTACAAATAGTACAAAAAAGCGCCGACATTTTATACGATTTCCAAACTCATAATACACTAGTTGTAACAAAGCAAATGGCACAAACCTTATTTAGCTATAAACAAACGCCCGATCACTGCACGCAGTGCTGTCTTTTAATGTGATGAATSCWAACAAAWYGMWCTAATTTTTCAGGATTTTGTTGATATATTTATGCTTGCTGGTGGAATGAAAAACCTKAAYGACCCTGATCACCAAAAATTCATCAGGTAAGTAYTTTACCAAGCTCTATCAATTCCGATTCCAATTCCATTCCATACTAAAGTATTTATATTATCTTTTTAAGGGGAATTGAATTTTTAAAAGGATGGCCTACAGAATTACTCGCAGAGAACCCTAAACAATGTCTCTTCCACTTCTTTAGGTACAGTATACATATATGGCCTGTGATTTTAGTTTTTATGCAAGTTATTTACAAGAGAGTGCTGTGTTGTAGTTCACGCCTGTTGTGTTTGCATACTCATTTCACAGAAATGCAATCATATTCTTGTTTTCAGAAGTGGGTCAGTTCTCGTAAAGGACAGTAATCATACAGACTGGATTTACATCATCAAATGGGTAGGTTACATATTTCACCTCTTTCCTGTKGSTTTCTTTCATTGATGTAACAGTTCTGTATGTTCATAGGGAAGCTGTCGAATTCTGAAGAAACTTAGAGAAGTCAAATCACAACTAACTGAACATAAAGAGCGTGTTGTTGGCTTTGAAAATGGTAATGATTCATTTCAGTTCGTTCAATAATAATAATAATAATAATAATAATAATAATAATAATAATAATAATAATAATAATAATAATAATAATAATAATAATAATAATAATAATAACGAAAATTGTGTCCAGTTAATTAGTGATCATAGATGATTTCGGGCTTATCGTTCTCTGAACGAGTTAGTACCAGAACTTTGTAGCTCTTGGTGCCCAACCATTTATCCCGATTGTGAAGCGTATCTCAGATGTATACAGAAAGAACTATATATTCCTTACTATAAGTAATTAACAGCCGTTAATATTATCCAAATACATGCAGACGTTGTATGCTATAAATAGCTATTATTCTCCACTAGTGCGCAGTCTCGTTCCCAAGGCGGATTCCCGAACTCACCTYGACCGTGTTCGTACAAAAATGGCTATTGTAACGATGTTACTACCCAAGTTGACATTACGATCGCTAACAGAGGAGTCCCGTGAAACAGGTATTCTACTTCATATGACGAGGCTGGATGTAGAAGAGGAAGAGAGAAATGCATTTTATCTCCATTTTGTTGTTGTTTGTCTTGTTTTAAGGAAAGAAAACTTTGTTGTCGTAAATCACAACAACCTCATAGTCTCTTCTTTCCATTTTGTGCTTGCGGTATTTATGTTCTTTGAGAGAGAAGGATGAAGTAGCAACTATCATTACCGAGTACTGTACATTTAGTATCAATGTTTTTCCTCAGTTAATGACTGTGGCAGTCCTGGACGAGACGAAGGCGCCTACATTGAGCAAGTAGCTGCAGCACAAGGCATTCTGGCTCGATTTCGTCAGAAGAGACCACCAAACCATGAAGAAGAAATCAAGCTTGCAAACGCTTCAGAAAAGTCATCAAGGTTGTCTTCCCCAGTGTTCTCGACCGCGCTGACAACAGAGCCTCAACCTGAAGTGATATCAACCAATAGTAAGAAAATAACGTTTACTTTAGAAGACGATGGATCGAGCGACGACGAGAAGACGAAAAGTTCCCGCAAGGTAAATGAGTMMKTTGAAGTTGCAGTCAGGATTCATAAATTAAATATATTATAAATAGCTGTCTCTGTCTTACACATCGACCTTCATCAGCTAGTGTTACATCACATTTACACGGGCAAAACTGTTTTAAGATCGCAACAAAATGTCAGAGATAAGTATTTTGTAATATTTAGTTTGAGTCTTGCATGCTAAAGTACTTGCTCCATCTTTCCCATGCAATCGTTTTGTTGCTATCATCTTCATCCTCTACTCTAGATATCAAGAAAGTCATCGCGTCGAAAATCAAGTCTTGCACCAGCATCAAACTTCATWAAACAGCGAGCTAGATCCAGGTCCTTGAAAACAGGCTTGATACACACGGACAAAGAAGATGAAGAAGACTACATCCCTCGTCAAAAAATATCAGTCATTGACGAAGAGGCACAAAAACAGGTCAGTTTACAACCATGTCGTCATGAGTGACGTAAATACATGACGTTTTCACATATTACCGATAAATGACGTCACGGCTTGTAATATATAACGTCATGCTACATGTACATCAACCAATGATCATCAATGTTCAATATTTGTTTTTTTTTAGAGTATAGAGATAACGGAGGCTGATAGGCACCCTATGTTTGTTCAGATAGCGTTGCTCTCCAAAGGAGATGTCTTTGTAAGTTGATTTAGACGTATTTGACTTGATATCGGTTGTATATGTGACTCAAAGTGAGCACGAATCAATTTTCTTTCAGGGCGTGTCGGCGATGTTATTTGATGATCAGCCTAGTCTTAGCTTGGTGAGTAATCTTCTTTTTCTTTTTTTTTGTATCATTTTCGTGTAAATTCTTTGAGTGATGGAAAGAATATATGTTTCAGGTCAGTAATGGTGCTGAATGCATCATGATATCCAAGAAGTTTTATCTTTCTCATTGCACCGAC